CCCAAACCCCCGCCCTGTGCCCCCCAAACCCCTGCCCTGTGCCCCCCAAACCCTCTGCCCTGTGCCCCCCCAAACCCCTGCCCTGTGCCCCCCAAACCCCCGCCCTGTGCCCCCCAAACCCCCGCCCTGTGCCCCCCAAACCCCTGCCCTGTGCCCGGCCAAACCCCTGCCCTGTGCCCCCCAAACCCCTGCCCTGTGCCCCCCAAACCCCTGCCCTGTGCCCGGCCAAACCTCTGCCCTGTGCCCCCCAAACCCCTGCCCTGTGCCCCCCAAACCCCCGCCCTGTGCCCGGCCAGCCCCTGCCCTGTTTCCCCCAAACCCCTGCCCTGTGCCCCCCAAACCCCCGCCATGTGCCCCCCAAACCCCTGCCCTGTGCCCCGCCATGTGCCCCCCAAACCCCTGCCCTGTGCCCGGCCAGCCCCTGGGACCGGGACCGGGCCCCCCAAACCCCTGCCCTGTGCCCCCCAAACCCCTGCCCTGTGCCCCCCAAACCCCTGCCCTGTGCCCCCCAAACCCCCGCTCTGTGCCCGGCCAAACCCCTGCCCTGTGCCCCCCAAACCCCTGCCCTGTGCCCCCCAAACCCCCGCTCTGTGCCCGGCCAAACCCCTGCCCTGTGCCCCCCAAACCCCAGCCCTGTGCCCCCCCAAACCCCCGCCCTGTGCCCGGCCAAACCCCTGCCCTGTGCCCCCCAAACCCCTGCCCTGTGCCCCCCAAACCCCTGCCCTGTGCCCGGCCAAACCCCCGCCCTGTGCCCCCCAAACCCCCGCCCTGTGCCCCCCAAACCCCTGCCCTGTGCCCCCCAAACCCCCGCCCTGTGCCCCCCAAACCCCTGCCCTGTGCCCCCCAAACCCCTGCCCTGTGCCCGGCCAAACCCCTGCCCTGTGCCCCCCCAAACCCCTGCCCTGTGCCCCCCAAACCCCTGCCCTGTGCCCCCCAAACTCCTGCCCTGTGCCCCCCAAACCCCCGCCCTGTGCCCCCCAAACCCCCGCCCTGTGCCCGGCCAAACCTCTGCCCTGTGCCCCCCAAACCCCCGCCCTGTGCCCCCCAAACCCCTGCCCTGTGCCCCCCAAACCCCCGCCCTGTGCCCCCCAAACCCCCGCCCTGTGCCCCCCAAACCCCCGCCCTGTGCCCAGCCAAACCCCTGCCCTGTGCCCCCCAAACCCCTGCCCTGTGCCCCCCAAACCCCTGCCCTGTGCCCGGCCAGCCCCTGGAGATGGTTTCTGTGTGGCACCGATCTGGTGGCACCTTTACCTGTTTGTTCTGCTGGATGTTGCCCGAGTAAAATGGGGAGAGGAGGAGGAGAAGCTCGGGGGTACAAAAAATAAAATAACATGGGTTTGCCATGTGTCCCCAGGAATGCCTGAAGGACAAGTGCTGCACTAACACGTGTAGACTGAAGCCAAAAGCAAGATGTGCCTCTGGATTATGTTGTAGAAATTGTCAAGTAAGGGACATTTTTATAATTATCACAAAATCCTTATTTATTTTTGGGCAAATGGTATGTTCCCATGCTGACGGATAGAGCCAAACTTCTGCTGTGCAATGGGAAAGGTTCCTGGGGTTGGGCTTCCCACCTCAGCTCTTGGGAACCCCTGGGGGGGAATATTACCCGGAGACTGTCCCAGGCAGTGTCACACCTGGGCCCCTCAGGAGGAAGGACTCTGAGGCCATGGTCAGAAGGGGTTGTGTGGGCTGAGCTGGCAGGTGAGGGAGGCTGCAGAGCTCCTCCTGCTCAGGCTGGCAGGCGAGGGAGGCTGCAGAGCTCCTCCTGCCCGGGCTGGCAGGCGAGGGAGGCTGCAGAGCTCCTCCTGCCCGGGCTGGCAGGCGAGGGAGGCTGCAGAGCTCCTCCTGCCCGGGCTGGCAGGTGAGGGAGGCTGCAGAGCTCCTCCTGCCCGGGCTGGCAGGTGAGGGAGGCTGCAGAGCTCCTCCTGCCCGGGCTGGCAGGTGAGGGAGGCTGCAGAGCTCCTCCTGCCCGGGCTGGCAGGTGAGGGAGGCTGCAGAGCTCCTCCTGCTCGGGCTGGCAGGTGAGGGAGGCTGCAGAGCTCCTCCTGCCCGGGCTGGCAGGTGAGGGAGGCTGCAGAGCTCCTCCTGCTCCCCAGTTCAAGCGGAGGAACTCGCTGTGCCGCCCGGCTGCCGATGCCCAGTGTGACCTAACCGAGTTCTGCAGCGGCTCCTCGGCCTCCTGCCCGCCCGACGTGTACGTGCAGGATGGGCACGAGTGCGGGTATGGCACTGGCTACTGCTACCAGGGACGCTGCCAGTCCTCAGATCTGCACTGCAAGCGGCTCTATGGGAGAGGTAACAGGCTGTGAGGGTGGCACTGGCACTGCTCAGGGGCAGGGTTGGCCACACAGCATCACAGTCGCACATCTTGTACCTGTCCTCTTCAATGCACCAAGCTCGAGTGAGACTGGGGCTCCTGGAGAGAAGGCACAGCTCTAGGAAAGCATTTCAAGCTCTGGTTTGGCTCTGGTTAACAGTCCCCCAGTGCTTCACAGATAACAATGGAAAGAACAAAAAGCAATTTTTTTTTCTGTGGGTAAACTCAATCAGAGAACTTCCCCATTTGCTACTCCCCTGCTGATTTCTGAGGTTCAGGACTGCTGGGGGTTTGGGCAGGGATAGGTATGTTTTCTCTAATCAAATAATGAAAAATGAAGTTATTAGATACCATAATATGTTCCTTTGTGTTCCTTTTAATGGTAACAAATATTATTGCTAACCGTGTAGATTCAAAGAATGCTCCCAGGGTGTGTTACGAGGAGATCAATGGCCAGCGGGACAGGTTTGGGCACTGTGGGGTCGAGACCAACCGCAACTACCGGCACTGTACTTGGAGGTATGCTGGAGAGGGGCACTGGCTCTGCTAAAATGCATGTTTAATGGGATTGGGCAGTCAAGAGAAGTGTCAGTGTCAGTTTATGGTGAGATTTCTGAAGCAATAAATACTTCTCTTTGTGTTCTCCTTGATATGGTGACTCTCCTTATGTCACAGATCCTCCCTTGGACCTCCCAGTCCTGCTGATGTTTTCACAGCAGACTGTGCTGTTTAATGTTGCATTGTTCATCAGGCAGGATCTGTGTGTGTGTGTGTGTGTGTCTGTTTGATACACATCCTGTGCAAATTGGCTTTCCAGGGATCTCAGGTGTGGGAAGTTAATCTGCACATACCCATCCTACAAGCCCTTCTCATCATCTGCTGCTGCCGTGATATACGCCCGAGTGCGGCACCATCTGTGTGTGTCTCTGAACTACCTGAATGTACCCATGTGGCTGGATCCGCTCCTGGTTCCTCCAGGAACAAAGTGTGGCACTGGAAGGGTAATGAAATATTCTGCAATCATCTGCAAATAGAAACTGTAAACAAGATCATAGAAACACTTGTTCCTTGCAGCAGTGTGCTTGATATTTAAAAACACTGTAAAAACTTGCAAACATGGCATTAAGGGTTTGGTGGGGTGTGAGCACTAAAATGACCTGGCTTCCGGGCAGAACTGTGGCTTCTTTGGCTTTTTAAAAAATTTTTATTAGTGTGTTTTCATTTCCCTTTGGGCCACAGCCTGATGTGCTGAGCACTGTATGGGTGAGGCAGTGCTGGGCTGGAGCTGCCATGGCTTTTCCAGGTGTGTATAAACAACACATGCCACCCACTCTCGGTGCTGGGCCAGAACTGTGACAGCAAAGCAAAGTGCCACGGCCACGGCGTGAGTCCCACGGGTGCTGGGCTGGGGGGGTGGGCTGTGTGAGGCCACTGCACACCTGTACCCCTGGCTGGCCTTGCAGGTGTGCAACAACAAGGGCAACTGCCACTGCCACCCGGGCTGGCAGCCCCCCGACTGCCGCAGGAGGGGGTCACGCTGGGGGGGCAGCAGGGACAGCGGCCTGCAGCTGACAGAGGGAGGTGAGTGGGGCAGCCGTGGGGATGGCGTGGGCTGGGCTGGCAGTGCCCGTGCCTGGCAGGGCTGGCAGTGCCTGTGCCCAGCAGGGCTGGCAGTGCCTGGCAGGGCTGGCAGTGCCTGTGCCAGGCAGGGCTGGCAGTGCCCGGCAGGGCTGGCAGTGCCTGTTCCTGGCAGTGCCTGTGCCAGGCAGGGCTGGCAGTGCCTGTGCCCAGCAGGGCTGGCAGTGCCTGGCAGGGCTGGCAGTGCCTGTGCCAGGCAGGGCTGGCAGTGCCTGTGCCTGGCAGTGCCTGTGCCAGGCAGGGCTGGCAGTGCCCAGCAGGGCTGGCAGTGCCCGTGCCCAGCTGGGCTGGCAGTGCCTGTGCCTGGCAGTGCCCGTGCCCAGCTGGGCTGTCTCCCGCCAGGCCTGCAGCGAGCCCTGGAGGATGGTGAGATGGCCTGGCTGGTGCTGGGCTCCAGCCTGGTCCTGCTGCTCCTCACGGCGGCCCTGGGGCTCGGCCTGTGGCGGCAGCAGCTGCTGGACCCACACCATGGGGAAGGACTGCCGGGCACCCAGGGGTGAGTGGGGTCCCAGGGGTGAGTGGGTGCCCGGGGGAGGAGGGTGTGCAAGGGGGCTGAGGGGATCCCTGGAGAGGGGAGGGAGGGGGATAAGGTGACCCCCATGGGGACATGAGGACACTGCCCAGCCTGAGGTGATCCTCGGGCAGAGGTGACCTCAGGCTGAGGCACTCCCTGAGCCAAGTCAGGTCCAAGGCCCCACTGTAGGTCCCCCACAGCACCAGCCAGGACATGGACAGGGAGCTGGAGCCAGATCTGGAGCTAAACCTGGAGCCAGAGCCAGAGCTGAGCCCGGAGCTGCAGACAGAGCCAGAGCCAGAGCCGGAGATGAAGACAGACACAGACCCAACACCAGAGTCAGTGCTGGGGCAGCACCACGGGCACTAATTAAAGGTGTTGGGCAAAGCTGGTGTCATGGCCAGTGCCCCGTGGTTCTATGCTTACGTAGTTAATGTTTTTTGTCAGAATTAACCCTGCTCTCGGGGCCTAGGGGCCACAGCTGCTGAGACTGCCCCCTTTTCTCTATGGCCACATGGTGGTGGTTGGGATTTGCCCATCTGTGATGGCTGTGAACCTGCCTGATGCTGGGGGCTGTTCGGCAGGGCTGGCTCAGGTGCTGTGGCTGCCTCTGAAGTGGACCTCTCCTGTGTGACTGTGGATGTGTGTGGCTCATGGCCCCCTTCCTCAGAGCTGGGCACCAGGGACGGCCACTGCCTCGTGTAGTGACCATGGTGCTGCCTGTGAGGGTGTCACCTCTGTTTTGTATGTGACGTCTATGTTTCCTGCAGTGCCCTTGGAGCTGCACCCCACGGGGATGTCAGTCCTGCTGTGGTACCCCTGGGCTTGGAGCTACACCCTGTGGGGATGGCAGTCCTGCTGTGGTACCCCCGGACTGGGAGCTGCACCCCACGGGGATGTCAGTCCTGCTGTGGTACCCTGGCCCTTCCCTTCCCATGTACTCACAGTGCCTCCAGCCGCTGTCTGCACAGGCAGCACTCTCAGGGCTGGTTTTCCCCCAGAAAGCTGCTGTTTGGGAAGGCCCTGCTCAGAGCATCCTGCTGACCCCCCTCTGGCAGTGGGACCCCACTGGCAGCCCCAGTGACCCCAGCACCGTGGGGAAAGCAGCAGCACCCGCTGTGTTTGTGCATCTCTGGCCAGGTGCCAGCACCAACCACGGCCAGGCTGGGAGGCTGGTGGCCTGAGATGCTGCTGTCCCAGGCCACCTCCCAGCCCATGGCAGCCCCTCAGCGCAGTCCTGGGAGGAGACCTGTCCCAGAGACAGGTCACCCAAGGCTTTCCCATGGGTGGATGCCACCCCACGGGGACCGAGTTTAATGTTTCTCCAGACAAAGCCTTATCAGCAACCTTTAGCCGTGTTTGCTCAGACCCTCTGGCCATTGGGCAGCCAGGCCCGAGCCCCAGGACAAGGGGCTGGTGCTGGCTCAGCACATACTGCCAGCGGGGTGGCAGAGCACGTCTGGCAGCCAGAGCCCAGCCATGGAGGCCAGTGATGACCCCGAGGAGCCCCCGCTGCCCCTGCCACTGACCAGGTTTCAAGTCTCTGAGGAGTTTGGCTTCCTGCTTCCTGATCCTCTGGTAGGACTTGGCTGTGCCTCCCCATCCGTGTGCCACAGGAGGCAGACAGGAAAACAGAGGGGTTGGTGAGCAGCTTCTGGGGGGAGCTCTGATTTAGCATTTTGCTGTAGCACTGTACAAAGAGCAATGATGAAGGCAGGTGCTATTCTGGCACGGGCAGATTTATAGGACAAACCCCTACCCTTTAAAATGATGACAGCAGCTGCAGCAAGTAGCACAGAGGAGAGCTGAGGGAGCTCTGCCATTTAAACACTGGCTGAGGTGCTACGGGGTTTTGGGGAGCACAATGTGGGGCTGTTTATCACTGGCCTGGCTCCGCAGGGGGAGCAGGTGGGCACAGACAGATTGTGGTCACCATCCATTAATTAGTGAGCGCACAGGCTCACCTCACAGGAGGGGGAGCAGAGGCAAGCCACCGGCAGCGGTGTGGGGGCTGGGTGGGTGCTGGGAGCCTGGGCACGTTCTCAGCCCTCCCTCTGCCCCTCTCCACCCAGACAGAGCTGCCTGTGCCCTACAGCCCCTGGATGGACATGGCCCGGGAGCTGCCCCAGCTGATCACCAGCCATCGGCTGCGCTCCCGCGTTCAGCAGGTACTCCTCCCTGCCTCCGGAGCTCTCCAAACCTTGGCTGACACAGCAGCGTCTGGAAAACCTGCAAAATCAGCCCAGCAGCACAGATGTGTGCTGAGCCACGACTGACACCAGGCGACAGCAAAGTCTTACCTTTGGCACAGAAATAATTCCCGCACCAGGTCCAAGCGCTCAGCAGCCAGCAAGGGCTGGAGCAGGTCCCTCCAGGTGTCACAAGAGCCATGTCTCATCCCAGCCATGCTCCCTGCCAAAGGAGCACAGGTGCTCCATTAGCTTCCAGTCAGGCTCGACCCTTTTGGGATCAGCCGCTCCCATGGGCATCCCAGCACCAGGAGGAGGGACTGTTTTTGAGGAAAACCCCATGGATTACTGTCCCTACACACAATAACAGTGCAGCAGGAGCAAATCCTGCAGAGTGGGTGGGAAGGGAGGCATAAAGGCAGGGAAGAACTAGGAGGGCTCCCCCCAGCTGGCAGGGCAGCCCCTCCACCACAGGGGCCTTGGCATTGCTGGATCTGCTCCTTGCTCCCAAGGGTTTCCCTGGCAGATGCCGCAGCTGAGCACCCAGCACCTCCGAGGGCGTGAGGAGCTGCACTTGGCACACCTGGTGCTCAGCTTCATCACCATGGGCTACGTCTGGCAGGAGGGCGAGGAGGGCACCGTGCAGGTAAAGGCAAGGTAAAGCAGGCTCGCCTGCTCCTTGGGGTCTGGGAGCTGATGCTGCTCCCTTCGAACTTACCCCATGGAGCAAAACCCTTTTCCTGTGGCTGCAGCAGGGGCGTGCCCACTCCTTCCTGCAGATAGGCACCTTCCTGCAGCCTGAGCATGTCCCCCCTTCCCCTGTGCTTTGTCACACTCAGGTCCTGCCCCGAAACCTCGCCGTCCCCTTCTGGGAGGTCTCCCAGGCCCTGGGCCTCCCGCCCATCCTCAGCCACGCAGATTTTGTGCTGGCCAACTGGAGGAGGAAGGACCCCAACGGGTAAACAGGCAAATGCCAGCGGGCCAAGCGCGCTCTTCCTGTGGCTGGGCAGCAGTGATGAGCAGGTGTCAGGGACAGAGTGTTCCCAAACTGCTCCTGTTCTGCCAAAACCCCCTGAATCCCGTCTGTGCTGGGGTTGGCCTCATGGGTGTGGACACAGGAACTCTGTGGGGACATGGGTGTCTCTGGGAGCAGCCCCTGGGAGCAGCTCCTGTATTCCCTGCAGAGCATGGACTGTTACTAGAACGATTTATAATCTCTCTCTCTCTCTCCTTTTCTTGTGCATTTCCTGCCACAACCGAAATGCCTTCAGGCCTCTGGAAATTGAGTAAGTAGTTACTGCTCAGTTATTTTCTAGCGGTGCTGGTTTTGTTTGGATTGGCTCAGCTCTGTAGCACTGCTTGGGCTGAACCTCTCTTGATGTGTGTTGTATTTGTCACACAAGTGCCACTGCGATGACAGCAAAGGGACTGCGGCAGAGCCTCTGCTGCTCTGGCTGCACAGACCCCATGGGCTGTGGGGAGGGCACGGGGAGGATGGCAGGGCCCCCAAACCCGAGCAGTCCTGCTCCCCTTTCACTCTGTGCCAGCTCCTCTCTGGGGGTGCAGACAAGAGGCTCCGGAGTCTGGGATGGTTTTGCTCCAAGGGCTCAGTGGGTCCCACAGTGTGTAAGGAAATCCTGAGCCACCACTCCCCCAGTTCCTCTCTCTGCCCCTTTGTGCAGGAACCTGGACACGATCATCACACTGCCTGGGGGAGAGAGCCTGCGGGGCTTCATCCTCGTCACCCTGCTTGTTGAGAAGGCAGCTGTGCCTGGCATTAAGGTGGGTACTGCCATGTGTTGGGGCTCTTTGCTTGCCTGCACTGTAAAGTGCTCGAGGTGCACCCACAAGGTGTTCCTGTCCCCTGAACCTGGGCTGGGGAAGGGGCAGCGCTGCCATGGGTGGCAGCAAATGTCCAAACCACTGTACACAGACATCCCACCTCTTTGTGACTCGGTGCTCTCCCTCCTCCTCCCGCAGGCAATCACACAGGCCCTCGGTGCCGTCGTGCAGGGTGATGAGGAGACCCTGCACAGAGCCCTGCAGGAGCTGGCAGGGGCCGTCGAGGCCATGAGTAAGGCGCTGAGGCGGATGCACGGTGAGAGCAGCCGGTCCTGTGCATGCTGCAGTGCATGGCACACACTGCTGTGACTGCCACCACCTCTGATCTGACTGACTTCCTCCTAGACTATGTGGATCCAGAAGTATTCTACTCTGTGATCCGGATCTTTCTCTCTGGGTGAGTTTCCTGTTTCCCTTCAGAGCCACTGTGCTGGCAGCTCCCAGGGCTGGGGGGAGCTGGGAATGTGCAGGGAAGGGGCAGCCCCGATGGGATATGGAGTTCCCCAGGGCAGGGTAGGGAGCAGCATTATGTCTGGCAGTGATGCTCCCTCGAGCATCATGATCCTGTCATTCAGGAATTCCTAGACACTGGATCAGTTGGGCATGGACTGTGGTCAGGGGCTGGGGTCTGCCTCCCTCCAGCTTCTCTCCATCCCACACTTCAGCTCAGCCCCGGCAGCCCCAACAGCCAGAATTGTGCACAAATGAATCTTTCTTGCTCTTGGCTGAACAGTTTTGACAGGAGAAGAGGAATTTCTCTTTCCTTCCACACTGTGTACACAACGCTGCAAAAAGCTGAGCAGAGGCTCTTCCCACTCCGTGTGCAGGAAACATCTGTAACAATCCTCTTGCTGCTGCTCTGTTACAAATCTGTCAATTCAAAAAAAGAAAATCCCCCCCAATACTGCAAATGCCATTTGGGCAGGGCAGAACCACAGCCCAGGAGCCCAGTGTGGTGCCTTCACCATCCCTCAGCACCCCTGTGGGGCTGCAGCATCTGCAGACACTAGGTCCAAGGCTTCTCAGGGGGATTCTATTTTTATTTCTCTTCATCTTATCTCAGCATTCCCAAGTAAAAAGCTCCATGCATCATGGTTAAGTTTCTCTCATTTTTTATCCAAGCTGACCTTGTCTCGATGGTCATCAGCTTGGGAAAACATGCCTTTTAAATTCCCTTCTGCTTGTAACAACTTCCCACTAGTAGAGGTTACTATAAATACAATCCTGGGAGAACTAAAAATATTCTGGTATCTGATAATGAATCTATTTTCTCTGCAGTTTGTGTAAAATCTGTTCCTGTAGCCCAACAGACACTGCAGCCAGCACTGAAAGCCTCATGGAATGGTGCACTCTGCTAAAGGCCAACAGATATTTTTGTGCCAGGCACTTCACCTCCCTGAAATCGTAGCTTCTGTCTCCATTTGGGTGTGAGCACTTCTCCATTCCGGCACAAGAGGGGCTGACAGGGTCTGAGCTCAGGGTGTGTGTGGGAGGTGCCAGCAATGCTGGCTCCCAACCTGCCCGGGACCAGCAGCTTCAGAGGGAGGAAATCCCGTCCTTGCCTTGTTATCTGCAGCGATAAAGAGGCAGGCTGGCCTGACCTCTATTTTACTTTTAAATGCCTTTAAAAAGACATCACCTTGAGTAACAAGAACAAAGGAAAATCCAAGCTTCAGGGGCTCAAAGGAGTGTTTGGGTGACTACCTGCTTCTCCAAATGGCCACTGACATTCAAGGAATTGCTGTAAAGTGCCACTGTTGCCCAGATAAGTGCCCCCTCCCCTCTCACACACCTGAGGCAGCTCTGCTTGCAGAAACCTCCTGAGCTGGAGCAGGAGGTGCAGCCGGGCAGGGCAATGTGTCCCAGCACCATGCCACAGGGTGCTCACCAGGGCATGGCGATCCCAGAGAATGCTCTTCTGGCAAAGGAAAATTAAGGACTTCTCCTTACCCCCATGGGCTCACTGTGTGCTTTGGCACAGTATCTCATTTCCAAGTTTATCTCCTGTTTGAAGAAGGTTGACATGGCTGCATTGGAGGAGGAGATCCATGGGCTGGGCCAGGAAAGTTTTGCTCAATCTTGTCAGTCCAAGGTCCCCTCTCACAGCCCCATGGCTGCTGCCTGACTGCCATGTCTCCTGCTCAGCTGGAAGGACAACCCTGCCATGGCGCACGGGCTCATCTACGAGGGGGTGTCCCCAGAGCCCATGGCCTTCTCGGGGGGCAGCGCGGCGCAGAGCACAGTCCTGCACGCCTTCGATGAGCTCCTGGGGATCCGCCACCGCGAGGACAGCGGTGAGCCACGGGCCTTTCCTTCTCCAAACACATGAGGGGCTGGGGAAGAGATGAGCCAGAGCGATTCCCATGACTGTGCCAGCTCTGTCAGGCAGGAGGACGTGTGCCCATCTGGCTGGGACCAGGCTCTGCCCAGTGCTGGGGAGGAAGGTTATACATGTGGCTCATGTATAAATTCACAAAAGCACACATTTGGCTTCTTGCATGTCAGCTTTTTGCTGAGGCTCTCTATGGGCCGAGAGATGAGGGAGCAGAGTGTGCAGGCATCCTGCCAGTGAGAGGCCATTCATAAAGCTCCACTTTAGCCCAGCCCACAACAGAAATATTTACCAGAAATTAGCAAAACCACTTTACTAGCAAAAAAAAACCCCCCAAAAACCAAAAACAACAAACCAAAGGCTGGGAGCAGGGCTAAACCCTGCCTTTTAGGGTTAGCACCAGCCCCAGTGGAGCACTGGCCTAATATGGGTTTTCTTTCTCAATTGGAGGCAGAGCAGAGGAGGCTGTGCAGGCTGTCAGGGGTCCCTCAAACTGTGCCACCACCACAGCTCCAGGCCAGCTTCTCTCCTAGAGGGTTGGGGCCTTTAATCCACTTGCCCACAACTTACTCCTTCCTTTGCTGGTGTCTCGCAGCTGCCTTCCTGCGCAGGATGAGGGAGTACATGCCCCCGGCGCACAGAGCCTTTGTGGAGCACATCCAGGGCTCCGTGTCCCTGAGGCAGCTCGTGCTCTCCTCGGGGGACGCGCGGCTCCGTGTCGCCTTCAACCGCTGCGTGTTGGCGCTGGCGGACTTCAGGTCCTACCACATCACCATCGTCACCAAGTACATCTCCGCTGCGGCGGCCAGAGCCAAGGCCAGGCTGGCCTCTGCGGGAAAACCCCCGTCTGCCCTGGAGACTAAAGGAACCGGCGGCTCCCACATCTTCAGCTTCCTGAAGAGCATCAGGGACACCACCAGGGAGGGGGTGATAAGTGCCTGACCCACCCCGAGGGTTGCCCAAAGTGGGCGCAGGAGGCGAAGGGGCTTTGGATCTGTCTGCAAGGCACAAGCCAAGAGCCAAACCCTCCCATCAGCAGCAGCTTTCCCACTGTGCACGTCTGGGACACGAGGGACACGCTCGGGGCTGGTGGGAGAGAACAGCGCTGCTGCTGCTGCTGCTGCCTCCCCCCAGCAGGCACACACAGCATCCTCCCCTGGCATGGGACGGGCGTGCTGTCCTCCTGTGGCACTGGTGCCAGCACATCATCCCCGGGCCCCAGGGAGGAGCTGTGTCCCTCCAAGCCCCAATTCCTGCCCACTGCACCCCGCCGCGGGGCCACCGCTCGGATGGACACGGGTGGGTCACACGGGCGAATAAAGCAGCGATCGCTGACCCGTGTGCGATCTGGGACTGTGTCTATCACCAGGTGGCGGCAGAAAGCCGCGTTTGGCACCAGGGGACCCGAGCGGGGCCGGGATGGAGAGCTGGACACGGGTGGGGACTGGGGGGTGCACGTCCGAGGGGTTCGGGGACAGCGAAGGGGTTCATTAAGGGCTCAGGATGGCACAGGGACTGCTCTCCATTGCCCCTCGGGGTTCATTAAGGGCTCAGGATGGCACAGGGGCTGCTCTCCATTGCCCCTCGGGGTTCATTAAGGGCTCAGGATGGCACAGGGGCAGAGCTGCAACACCTTCACTTTAAGTCTCGGTGGTAACAGTGCTGTAGTAGGGGACATGGGGACACATGGCTTCTCCATGGGAAAAATACTTCTGACAAACCCCTGATCCTCCCTAGGTACTGGCAGCAGAATAACACACAGCCTGGTGCCAGGGTCAGCCCGATAGAGAGGCTCCTCCAACACTGCTGCAGGTGAAGTGAGACCCCCAAGCAGCCCCCGTGCTGGGTGTGGCTGCTCCCGAGTGTCACTGCCCACCCGTGCCAGCTCCCGAGTGTCACTGCCCACCCGTGGCTGCTCCCGAGTGTCACTGCCCACCCGTGCCAGCTCCCGAGTGTCACTGCCCACCCCTGGCTGCTCCCGAGTGTCACTGCCCACCCCTGGCTGCTCCCGAGTGTCACTGCCCACCCGTGCCAGCTCCCGAGCGTCACTGCCCACCCGTGCCAGCTCCCGAGTGTCACTGCCCAGCCCGTGGCTTCGCACCACCAACCTGGGCTCAGTGGGCAGAGCCCTGAGCTCTGTGCCAGGAGCCGTGCTAAAGCTTTCTTTATAATGCCAGGTGCCTGTGTTGCCCTTTTCTAGCAAGTCAGCACGCTCAGATTCCTTGGAATTTGCATCTTTAGGGAAATTGAGCCATATGGCTCTGTTTTGCCTCCCCAGGTTGTGCTGGCACAGCCACCAGAGGTAAGATTCACACCCAATCGGTGTCTTGGTACAAAAATAGCCCTGGCAGTGCCCCTTCTGCACTACCAGAAGAGAGTCAAGGTCCTTTGAAATGCAATGTTTTTCCCATAAGGGCAAAGACAAGCTCAGCACACCGTAGCTTGAATTATTAAGCTCTTGCTAAACTGTATTTTGTGCCTTTTTTTTGAATATAGACCTAAAACTGGGGCTTCGGAGATGACTTCAGTAAACAACCCACGGGAATGTGTCAGCACCTTTAAATCTTTGCCTGGCAGCGCTCCTTTCACTTGATCTTCATTTCTGAATAGCTGCTGCATATTTCATGTAGGAAATATTTCATCCCAATGATTGTCTTGGCCTATTACATTTCAGACCATTTCAGGAAAACAGCAAACTTGGACCAGGGGAAAAATCACTCCATCTAAATGAGGAACGCAGCCAGGACTGGAGGCAGCTGGGGCAAGCTGGCCCTGCGGGGGACGAGGGCTCTGCTTGTGCTGGGAATGCCCAAACCCCGCTGGCAGCAGTGATGCCATTGCCAGGCAGGGTCACAGAACACCCAGCAGGGTTTTCTTCCTCCTCAAACTCCCTTCCCTGAGCCACCAGGCCGGGAGCAGGTCCTCAGGAACAAGGAGGATGGATTTGTGTCACCTCGGGAGAGGGGAGATGGGAAATAGAGAGGCTGATCATATCAGGGGGCTCTGGAGAGCCAAGGGGGTTCCCTGCTCTGGAGAGCACACTCCCCTTCTTCTGGTGAGCAGGGAAGGTGCCCAAGAAACTGCAGAGGAGTCAGCCCATGGCGTTCCCAGGCCAGCAAACTACACAGCACAGGCTCCGTGGTTACCAGCTGCTCTGTCACAGCCAGCTCACAATCAGCTGCAGCTCCTTGGGGATGGAGTGCAGGAAGGATCCTGCCACTCTGGAAGCAGCAGACACAGCCACAGCGGGGCACAGGCCTTTTCTGTGTGCTCTCCTGGCAGGCTGGGACAGCTGCTCCAAGAGAGCTTTGATTCCTCTCTGTTTTCAAAGCACTGCTGTCTAACATTGATCACCAGACACACACATCTAAGGTCTCAGGTGCATTCTGATTGGAAGCACGTGGCATTTAAATAATTTATGCCTGTGCCTAAAAATGGCATGATGTGTTTGAGGATAACCATGTGCTTGGCATCCATGGTGCATCCCACCAGTGGGAGCTGTGCTGCCACAGGCTGCCAGCCTGAGGTTGCTCTGTCCTGAAGGGTTTGTTTTGGCAGGCACTGCACAGCCCAGAATGCGAGGGGTGAGTCCAGCCACAGCCACCTCCTCTCCTGAGCAGTCTGCTGGGACAACCTGAGCACTGGAACAGGCAGTGTTAAGGCCACTTCTGCAGCTCAGTGATAGAACTAATGGTATTTCAGCAAGGGAAAAGCAGTAAAAGTGCTGCTCCTCTCCCTCCTTCAGAGGTGCTGCCCCCAGACCTCAGCTCCCAGAGGTACATCTCTGCACTGAGGCTGGGATGTGCAGGCTGCCCAGGATCCACATGACAGAGAACGGGATTTTGCACCAACTCCCTGAGCCCAGCAGGATCTGACACCTGCCAGGGAGTGGATGGAAAAACAGGAGAGATGTCACAGCCCTTGTCCACATCCAGAGCAGCAGCTCCAGCCCTAAATCAGTGCCACCCACACAGAAATCTCCCTTATCTCTGGAGCCAGGCCCTGTCCCTGCAGCACTGAGGCACAGGTTTCCATTGTGGAGATGCCACTCAGAGCTGCCCAGTAGCCCAACAGCTCTTCCAGCCACATATTGGAGTGTCCACCCGACTCCCGACTCCTTGCTTTTGTGTTAAGCAGAGATTTTCCCCATGATATCTGATGGTCAGTCCTGTGTGATGGAGAAGGAAGCCTGGTACACGCCCAAGGTGGCCTCACCTGGGCACACCTTCCATGCACCAAACCTCACAGAACCTCACCAGCCCTGGGAGCAGCCCGCAGGAGGTGGCCAGCCCTGCCTGCCGGGCTCGCTGGGCCATGCCCAGCCCGTCATCCCACCCACACTGTTGGCTCAGACTTTCCATCGTTCTCAATCCCTTTGGCCTTCGGGTCCCTCCTTGCCATGCCCAGGTCTCACCCCGGTCACTGCTGAGACAAATCTGTGCAAAAGTTCCTGAGCACCTTTCCTGGTGCCGGGCTGACAGCCCCTCCAAGAGGGTGTCTGGCTCCTCAGGGACCCCTTATCAGGGGCTTCAAGGTGGGCTGGAACAGGACTTGGGCCAATGGGGTCACAGACACTTGATGTTTTAGGGGAGGGTTACAGGTGTAGGGTGAACCATACATTTGGGGGGTGAGATCCAACAGTCCATTTGGCTTTTGGACCCCTCTGTAGGTAAGAGCATTGTCCAGCCAGTAGTGGGGATTGTTTTCATCCTGGCTGTACTATTGTACATCTTTTGCCAGGCAATTATATTATCCATCCTTTCCAACAAGCCCCCTCCACAGGAATTCCCACAGCCCCCAGGCAGCTTCAGCCAAGTGCTTTGCTGCTTTTCTCCCGTGAATATTTGAAATCGAACAGGAATACAAACATTTGGATTCTAGACACTTCCCCATTCCGGCCTTATTTATCATAGTTGGCTCTGCTCCTGGAGCTGGGGCCAGAAGAGGCTCTGAATGATTTAAGTGATTTAGCATGCTGTGCATAGATCAATCTCACTCTCCCCTCCAGCCATAGGTTTCCCTTTGTGGTTTGCTGCACGCTTATTATATCCATCAATATCCAAGTAATTAAAATCCCCCATTATCTGGGTCCTGGCTCCCTTACAAACCCCTCATAAGCCATAAATTCATTCATGATCAACCTCCCCGAAGTGTCTGGGAGTTTGCAGCCCCATCTCAGGGTCCCCAGGCTGTTGTTACATCCTGAAGGTCCCACTGGAGCCGTGGCCAATTCCAGTCTGAGCCACGGCTGCCATTCCTCTCCCCGTGTTCCTGGTCTGTGCCAGGATTGCTCATTTCTATGCCCATCTTTCTCCACTCTCTGCTGAGTTTATCTCAGAGCACCTGCCCCAACTCCTGCCTCACTGTGTTGCTGGAGCAGAGCTTTGAACCTGCTGCATTCCTGGGAGCCCCCAGGGGCTCCAAATGCTGCATCCCAAACTGCCCTGCTGTAGAACCACTTCCAGCACCTTGGAAAGGCAGCAAGTCCCCAGTGCTGTCACACCAGTGGCCCAAATGTCCCTGCACTGTGATCAGGGACCAGCCCAGGGCTCTTCTGGGGGGACACTTCCTTGTCACCTGGCCAGGCTCCATTCCTGCACGCCTCAGCCACAGGTCTCTAAACAATTTATTAATAACAACCAAATTTGCCCTGTGATTTACCATTGGGAGGGATGTGAGACCACAGAAAACAATCACCTTCACCTTCTTTCTGTGCTGCCCCTTCCCCACACCTGGGGCTGTGCCTGGAGTACTGCGTCCCTCGGAACACGCAGCTTGGCACCAGCAGAGGCTTATCTGCACCTGGGGAAGGGCTCAGCTCTGCAGAGCTACTGCAGGCCAGATATGATTACAGGCCATGAGTCAAGCCAAAAAGTGCTAATTACAGCATGGGGGAGGAGAGAGGAGCTGCTAAATTACACCTAATATGGACAGGGCTGGGGAACACACTGAGAAGTCACCACTGCTAAGAGGATGATGCAGGGCTGGGAGATGGCAAAGTCTTTGTTATCGGATTAAGGATGCCTAGAGGGACCGTTGGGACCTTATTTCCCTAAAATCCTTGGTGTCTGACCAGTGTTTGTAAAACATTGCACTATTACAGCTGTTGGTAAATAAAGAAACCAGAGACCCAAACATTGGCACCAGAACAAAAATAGCTGAATGTGGGGCAAAGGGTGGGAACAAGACTGGCAGGTCCTGACAAGGCTCTCAGCATTTCTGTGCTGCCCAGGGTGCCCAGCCAGGCTGGGAGCAGGGTTTGACCAGTGCCTCACGATGGCACGTCACTGGTGTCACACAGAGGATATGCCACGGCCCCCCGAACGCCTGTTTGCCAAGTTAGTCAGCACAGCCTGCAGTCTCCAGACCTGGCAAACAAGGACAAACACAGATCCTGGTGTCCAGGAGGCATGGTGAACCCGGGAGGCAATCACTACCCGGCATCCTAGGAGCTCTAGTCAACCCCATTTCTTAGAAAAGAGAAAAACAAGGAAAAGACACAAGGCGCTGCTATTATTGCAGCAAGAGGCTGTGTCATGCTGGGCTCTGCAGCTAAATATATTCGGTGTTTACTGTAAGCAAGGACAGTGGGAAGCCTTCCGAAACGGCACGGGGGCTGCTCCCATTTTTTCAGCTATCAATCACGCATGGCTTGAGCCATTTTTATCCTGACACAAATGGAAAATATTTTCCTGGTTTAATTTCTACTGATCAAAGATACTTCCTCAACAGAGAGGAGCCCCACAGCCCTGGGAGTAGGGGGGGGAAGGAGTTCCCGAGGAAACTATTTGCCTGAGGCACATCAGGACACCATCCCTGAGAGTTAGGACACCATCCCACAGGTCAGGACACCATCCCACCAGCCCAGGGGCACTTGACCAGGCTATTATTCATTCCTCTTCCCAATTAATTTGCCAAACAAGAAACTTGGTGTTTACCACATGCCTGCCAAACACAGCTCTGGGAGCACCTTGGCACTGCCCCAGGGGGGTGCAGGTCCCCTTTGCTGCCCCAGCACCTTCTTCCCCAGCTGCTGCCGTGGTCAGAGAGACCTGCAGAGGGGCAGGGTTTGGGGTCAGATATCTGTTTACTTTCTCCATAAGATTTCCCTAAACAGCATTGGAAAATGCTCCTTCCACAAAGCTCATCGTGGCCGGAACTGACTCAGATTTCTGCACAGAGGGTCCTGGACATGAGCTCACTGGCCTCAGTGACCTGATGTCACACTCAGCGCTGTTTACTGACAGACCACATCTTTTATTTTATTTTATTTTATTTTATTTTATTTTAGCCCATCAGAGTGGTGAAAGCAGGGCTCCCCATGTGTCCCCTGACCCTGCAACCCCCTGCTCCCTCAGTCTCACACAGACCCTTGCGATGGGCAGATTCTCTCCACAAGGCAGACACAAAGTCAAATCAGATTTACTTCTCCCAGGCAGATGCCAACAACTCCAGAGCACAAACTGCTGGCTGGGCTTCTGGTTTGACCCTGAACCATGAGGGCTCAGAGCCACAGTGGGAGCTGTCAGAGCCCAGGCTCACCATCAGCACTTTTCTGCTCAGCCAGACTCTGCCAGAGGGACTGCGCCGCTTGCTATATGCACAGCATCACCCCTCTCCTCTTCCCTCCTCTTCCTCACAGAACTAAAATCTACTGGCAGCTCTGAACTGGTTCTTTTTTGTCTGAACTGCTGCATAAATAACCCAACAGACAGCCTGAAGGCCCTGCACACTAACACCTGACAGCGAGTCAAGGGCAGATCTCGAGAACAGAGAGAAGCTCCCATGTGAACAAGGCATCAGTCACTGGGCCTGTAACTGATGGTGGGGAAACATGGAGAAGGGATTGCAGGGGCTGTCAGCAGCTGCTGCTCGGTGCTGAGTGGCAGCACTGGGGCTGGTGGCTCTGGCTGGGGCCAGCACACCAGGGGAAGCACTCTGAGCTGTACAGAGCAGGTCTGCACCCCACAGATGATTCAGGGCTCCTGCTCCAGTTCTGCCCGGCTCAGACCTGTGGCAGGTGGCACTGCTCTGGTGCCTGGAGCTGCCAGCCTTGCCTGTCCCAGAGATAGGCTTTACAGCCCTGCTGCTGCTCTTTGAGCAGGGCTGACGTGTGCAGCTGAGGGCAGCTTTCCCTGGAAAACAACCACTGGCAAGCGTTCAGTTACCTGCCCTAACAGCTGCAGTGGCCCTGGGGGCAGCCAGAGCCCAGGCACAAACCTTTATGACACCTGTGGAGCAGCTCCCATCCTCCCCCCAGCTGAACCTGGGGAGGATCTGCAGCCAAAAAATGCCCCCAAACACCCCAACAGAGTCAGCAGCCCCTGTGGCTCAGGCACAGCCACAAGGATGGGAAGGGGATCACAGAAATTGCTTTTCTAGCAGCTACAAAGCAAATTTGCTGGGCCACCAGAGATGATGGTAGGAGCCAAACACCATCTGTTCTCTCCCAGAAACTCTTTTGTTAGTGGAGAAATGAGCTATAAGGCTGATAACTCCGCAGTGCCAAGCTCATCTCCCAGACGATCAACACGGCGCTGACTCCCTGATAAATCTCCACAGATGGAGCTCTGCTGTTTCCCTCCTTCTCTTCCCTTCCCGGTTTTCTTCTCCCAGTGTTACTCAGCCACACATACCCAAACCTCAGCTATTCCTCTCCAAAACACAGCCAGGTCAGGAGCTCCCTCTGCCACATCCCACTTTGCTTTGACACAGAATTAAGGAACTGAAAACTAAATTCTGCTCAAGAAGCCTGTTCCTCTGACCACGGACCTGGCTCAGCTCTTTCAACATGAAGCCGGTGTTTCCCAGCCTGGCCACTTGCAGGCTTTCAAACAGGGGACAAATATCCTCTCCTTCCCGTACCTCTGAACTGGGGACAAGTACCTGCCCTGTCCCATATCTCTGAAATGGGGACCACAGGAGGAGTCACAAGGAACACAATTGGCCAAGCCAAGCTCTTGGGGTTTCTGTGAGCAAAGGGTGCAGTGTCCTGCCGTGAGATCTGGACAAGTGTTCCCAGATGTTCTATTAAAGAAACAACGACCACAGAAAAACCTGAATAACAGCCAAACAGAGGTCACCCAGGCTTTCCCTTGTGCCCGGCCCCAGACAGAGCGATGAGCTGAGCCTTGATGTGACCTGCCCAGCCCGTGTCTGCTCTGCACAGCCACAGCCCTCCTCGGGTAGCCTGGATCACCCTGCCCAGCCCTGGGCCGCCCCGGGTAGCCCAGATTGTTATAAATTGAGGCGAATAATTTGATTCAGCCTTTTAAGATCAATTAATAATTTTATTAATTACAGCAAGCGATAGCAAGCAAACAGCGCTGGGTGCAGCTGCGGAGCCTGTGTTCCGCCAAAAGCTGACAACCTTTCCTTCTCTTCAGTCCCTTTTTATCCTGCATAAGTGGGGGTGATGGGTCTCCTTCCACCGTGGTTATCAGTTTCAGCAACAATGGGTTTCCACTTCGGTTATCAGTTCCAGCCAGTCCTGCAAAATCTTTCACAACCTTTGTTTGTGGTTACCAGTCAAGCCTGCAAATTCCATGTCCCGACTTCCCCCCCTTTTATCCTAATTTCATACTTTTGATGAACAAACAAGTCAATGCAGTTCCTCACAAGATCACCCTGCCCAGCCCCGGGCCGCCCCGGGTAGCTCGGATCACCCTGCCCAGCCCCGGGGCCAGCCCGGGGCTGGGCAGGGTGATCCGGGCTACCCGGGGCGACCCGGGGCTGCATCCCCGCCGTCCCCCGCAGCCCCTCCGAGGCTTTGGGGGTCGGGGGCACAAAGGCACGAAGGCACATCCTGCCTGCCATCTCTCCTGCAGCAGAGGAAGCGGCTCGGGGAGATCAGAGCCCAAACAGGGGCACCACGGCGCCGTTCGGCTGTGCGACAGTGCCCCGGAGCATCCCTCGGCAGGATTTCCGTGAGCCCGTCCCCTCGGCAGCACACAATGAGTGTCTGACAGCTGCAGACGGCTCTGCCTTCGCCCCTCTCCGCCGACGGGTCCTCGGCACCTTCAGGAAGGTCAAACAGGAAATTGGGCAGAGAAAGAAAAAGTTGTTCGTGCTGGAAAGTCCAAATTTTCGTTCCTGGCTTGGGATGAAGATGCTGAAGTCAGGATATTCAAATACTTCCCCTGGCGCCCAGGGGAATAGAAGGACATGGTGAGCGGGGCTGCAGGAGTGACGGGCTGGTGGCATCCCAGGGGGCTGGTGACATCCCAGGGGGCTGGTGCCATCCCAAGGTGGCAGTGCCATCCCAAGGTACCGGTGCCATCCCAGGGGGCCGGTGCCATCCCAGGGCGCTGGTGCCATCCCAAGGTGCTGGTGCCATCCAAAGGCGCTGGTGCCATCCAAAGGTGGCAGTGCCATCCCAGGGGGCTGGTGCCATCCAAAGGTGCCAGTGCCATCCATCCCAGGGGGCTGGTGCCATCCCAGGGGGAATGTGCCATCCCAGGGTGCCAGTGCCATCCAAAGGTGCCAGTGCCATCCAAAGATGGCAGTGCCATCCCAAGGTACTGGTGCCATCCCAGGGTGCCAGTGCCATCCCAGAGGGACGGTGCCATCCCAGGGTGCTGGTGCCATCCCAGGGGGCCGGTGCCATCCAAAGGTGGCAGTGCCATCCCAGGGGACCGGTGCCATCCAAAGGTGCCAGTGCCATCCCAGGGGGCCAGTGCCATCCCAAGGTGCCAGTGCCATCCCAAGGTGCTGGTGCCATCCCAGGGGGCTGGTGCCATCCCAAGGTACCGGTGCCATCCCAGGGGGCTGGTCCTGCTGGCATATGCTCACACCTGATTGAGTTTTCCCACTTAAATTCCTACCCTGTCCCTCACCCCGGGTGTTTTTCACCTGCCTCCCTACAGACAAGGCTCTTCTTTTTGGGACGATGCTCTGGCTGGCAACCCACTACTATATTTCAGGCCACTGTATTTCACAGTCAGAGTTTCTCTTTGCAAGATGGATTTTGGAAGTCTCAAGCACCAAGAGAATCACCTGTGGCTTCCTTCCACAGCAAGCCCTTGCTTCCCCAGACTCAACAAGCATCCACACCAGATGTATCCCCAGCTCTGCTTTGCTGCGTGCAGGGCTTCTTCCACGGGGTCCTGCCTGGTAGAAGTGCCAGAAGTTTCTGTTTCTCTTCTGTTTCTTACCAGACATGATTTACTTACTGTAACTGGCTATCCGTTATGCCCTGCATTGCATTATTAACTCGGTGATCGTACATTTAGCAGAGAATTTATGAGAAATGAGGAGACATTCATTATCAGTAACACCACAGACTTTACTCTTATATGGTCTCCCTGCAGGGCCAGAGCAGGACAGGGCTGCTCTGCATACTTCTGGGGCTGCATTTCCCTCACTTAGTCCAGTCCTTATTTTTTCTCCTATTAAAATATTTTCTGGTAAAATTTAACTGGCTTAATTGTGCCATCATGCCTTCTGTTGTCTGTTTTTCCTGTTTTCAGGCAGGGAGCTGGGTGAAGATTGTCTGAGACACATCTGTGCTTCCCAGCAACTGAACTGCAACAGAAGTGCCCTTAAAATACCTCCTTATCCTGAACCTCTGACCTGGGGACAAATATTCCCTCCTTCCTGTACCTCTGAACTGGGGACAAGTACCTGCCCTGTCCCATATCTCTGAAATGGGGACCACAGGAGGAGTCACAAGGAACACAGTTGGCCAAGCCAAGCTCTTGGGGTTTCTGTGAGCAAAGGGTGCAGTGTCCTGCCGTGAGATCTGGACAAGTGTTCCCAGATGTTCTATTAAAGAAACAACAACCACAGAAAAACCTGAGTAACAGCCAAACAAACAGAAATCTCAGGTGGAGTCTCAGAGGCACACAAGTCCCAGTGAAGAGAGGCTGTAGGCAGGTTGGAGACAGGACAGGCATTACCATTTGCATGACCTGGATGTCTGACAACCTCCCAGGAATTCGGATTCCAAGAGCAACACAATGAACAGTTCCTCCTTGACCTTAGAGCCATGCCACAGCTGTCTGCAGAGCACTCCATCTTGGAAACCTTTCCATCTCTGAAGCCTTTCCCAGCAGACAGAGGCATTTCTGGCTCCTGAGAAGGACTGGGGTTCCCCAGCTGCAGGCTGGTGGCAGCTGTGAAGGCTGTGAGGAGCCAGAGCTCCAGCCCATGTCAGCCAGGGAAAGGATGGGAAGAGCAGAGATGGCTGGATGTTCTTGGACATTTCCTATTCTTAGGTTTTCACTGAATGGCCTGAACACAAAGCAAATATCTACCTATATCTAGATCATCTATATCTATACCATCTATATCTGTCTGTTATACCTCACAGGTATCACAGGAGATTCTGAGTCTCAGCTTCTGAATGCCCTGTGCCTAGCTGGGAAGGTCTGGGCAGCACAGATGCTCCATGGGGGCTGCTGCATCCTCTGATCCCAAACGGGTGCTACAGACCGTGCAGGCTTTGGCAGCAGCCAGTGGAGGGAAAGCTATGCAAAACATGCCCCAGGGAACTGCCAGGCATCCCGGATTACCTTCTTTGGAGTGGTTTTGGAGGTTACACGAAGGCAAAGCCAGTTCTCTGCGAGTTTGTGGCGCAGGCACTGGCTGCCCCAGCTGTCCCACACCCGGGGCAGCCCCAGCCTCCCTCAGCTCCTGCCCTGAGGCTGCCAGCCCCCGGCCAGTCCGGGCCTTTCCTGGCTGCAGAACCCCTCGCACCCCTCGCCCGTCACGCCAGGAGAAGCAGAGCACAATTAGAGATGTGGCTGTGCCTCTCTGCAGACAATTAATCCTCCCATTAACGGGTGAAATGGAGCGTTTGCGTCTCACAAAGCAATTACACAATAATAGCAGGAGAACGATGATAGAAATCACATCTTCTCTGAAGTTGCTCTCCAATCCAACAGATGAATAATTCCTTCCAGGCATTACTGGGAAACAGTATTAAAACACCCATATAAACAAAAATTACTGGAAAAAAACAGATGAGGCATGCTTCATCGCTCTGTCAGAGCCAAGCACAACTAAATTTATACAAAGTGGGCAGAGAAGCTTGAAGGGGCAAAGACATTTGTTACTGCTCTGTGCGAGATGAGCTCACAAGGAACGCGTGCTTGATCTTGGCAGCTTTCTGATGTCTTACTCCTAAAGCATCAGCTTTAGTCTCGGTTTCCATGGCAGATACTTTTCTGAGCTTGTATCTTCCACAGATATTGCTAATTTATGCTGTCAGCCACATCTCTGCAAATACCTGCAGAGTGATTCCATGTGCAGTGGGAGCAGTGACAACAAGGCACACGTGAACCTGCCTCAGCTCTTGTTTTTGACCAGGGGGCAAAAAAGGGTTTGTTTTCTTCAGCCCACAAGATCTTGGCTGATCTTCTGGCACTGAATTTTGCCCCAAGTACCCTGACACTGTGTTATCTGTCCTGTGAAGTGAAGCACTTTCAGCAGTTCATCCAGGCACGTGTTTTTGGCACATTTACTCCCCAGTGCTCTGGCAGCTCTGAGCAGGAAGAGTTGGGCATCACATGTGGCCCTGCTTCCTTCTGCTCCCCCACCACATTTCATGTTAGCAGAGTCTATAAACCATGAGATATTTCCCAGGCAGAGATCCAGCCACACCAAAACTGTTCTGTTTTCAGGGTGGATTTATCAGCCCTGCAAATGTTGAACAAACAGCTGATGAATTGGTCTTACCAATTTGACAAGACCATGGCAAGGTGAGAGGCTGCACATCTGGCTGGTGGAAGAAGAATCCCGGGGATTTGCAAAGCTGTTGTTTATACACTGAAGCATGGAACATCCAGCACATACAAAAGAATCTGTGGAAAACTTGTAAAAAGTAACTCACACAATAACAGAACCACAGGAAGCGATGGCACGTGCAGAGGGAGCTCATGTCGGAGCAAAGTCCTGGCAGCAGCAGGGAAACCCATGTCCTGGCAGGATATGGGGACTGCAGGGTTCAGGGCTGGTTCAGGATGTGCCCGGCAGCACCAGCGGGTGAGTCCCAAGTCCCAGGAAGGAAAGTGGCCAAACACTGAAATGAGACCGCTCCCTCTCCTAAAGATAGAAGCCTGGCAAGTCCTGGCCAGCTGGAAGTTGATCTGAGCCCGGATGGAGCCAGGCTTGCCAGTCATTTTGAGTCCCAGGCAGCCACCTGCCCTGCTCACACTTCACCTGGTGACCAACAGCTCACAGGTAATCCCCTTCTCCATTCTGAGCCAGCACAAACACCTACACAGGGGCTTCGTGTGTGCTCACCTCTCCACTGCTCCTGCTGACTGCTAGAGAGGCGTGTATGGCTCTGACATGTCCCCTCCCTCTATCCAAAGGAACTGAGGTTTTAAAAGGAATGTGGAATAAAAAGCATCTGGGTGATGTTTCCTTGGATCTGTTCTTTAGTGTGGTCATAATTTCCACAGCTCTGTGGTAAGTGAGGGAAACCCCTGCTCTGAGTGGGATGGGGATAGAGGCTGTTCCTAGAGCCTTTCAGCAAGGATGAGTAACAGGGCCAGCAACGACAGTAAACAAGCTTCTAGTTTTCCAAACAGAGCCTCTGCAGCATCCGGCTGCTTTAAAACATTAACTAAAATACACTTAATCTCTGGCTCCTGGCCTTAGGTGACTTTTGAACCCACAGCTATTCTGGGCCAGATTTGACTGTGCTCAGTACAATCCAGGTGTCTCAGGCCTGGGTCAGGCCTGTGGACCCTAACCCTGTGCACAATGCACCTCGAGTGAGACGGGACACAAAGGGTCAGCGAGTCCAGCTCCCTGCTCCTCACAGGAGCCAAAACTAACCCACATGACTAAGAGGGAGTCCTCTCAGCCCAAGGACTTGTCATTGACCAAGGGTGGCATGGAGAGCACAGACTCTTGTGGAACAGAGGTGAGTTTTCTTTCCAGCACTAATGCGCATGAAATTTAAGCAAAAGGACACTGAGGGCAGGAGCAGGACAGCAATCTGAGTTTTCTTGCTCCTCCTGAGACCACTGCCACGTGCAGCTGGGCAGCTGAGGGTGTAACACCCAGGGAAGTCACCTCAGAAGATGTTATGGATCACTTGCCTTTGGGACAGCACTTGTCAGTTAGAAGCTACAGCTCTGTGTGCACTGAAGATGAGCTGCATCTGCTGGGAGCAGCAGAAAGGAACCCATGCCCAGACAGGAGCAGGCTGGCAGTGGAGATAGAGCCAAGTTCTTCGCTGTTTGCACAGGCTCCAGCCTCTTGCTAGCATTGCAACAGTTCTCACCTGGAGTTTTACCTGTTTATGATATGATCCATTGTGCACACAGGGCTTTTCACATGCAGCAAGGGCAGGAGTGGAGTTTGGGCTGTGCTGGCTCGGTCCCGCAGAGAAGGCTGAAGCTTGTTCTGTGGTGGGCCAAAAAACCCCAACATTTCCATCACAGAAGCAGAGAGGACTTTTCATCCGCACGACAGGAAAGTTGGCAACTTAAATGTTAAACTTGCCTGTGACTGTTGGGTGTTGACATCATCGTGATCTCACGGCTGTAACCGGAGCCCTGCAGCTTTTCCTGCAGCCTGCCTTTAAATACCGGCCCTGGAGGCAGCACAGCAGCGTTCCCCCACTGGAGCCCAGGGCAGAGCCCACGTCGATGAAAGCAAAGCCAAACCCCAGCGCTCCAGCCATGTCCACGTCGCTGCGGGTGAGCCCCTCGGTGCACGGCTGCCGCTTCGACACGGCCCTGCGCAAGAAAGCCGCGGCCAACATCTTCGAAAGCATCAACGAGGCATCCCTGCAGAAACTCTTCAAAAACTCCGGGGACAAGAAGGCGGAGGAGAGAGCCAAGATAATCCTCGCCACCGACCAGGACATGGAGGAAAAAACGAGAGCGCTAATGGCACTGAAGCAGAGGAGAAAAGACAAACTGCTGCAGTTCCTGACATTTCGCAAATATTCCATTAAAGTTCACTGAAGCGGCGGAGCAGCAGAAGCGGAGAACATTTTGTGACGGGACTGTGTGAGCCCTCCTGCCACGCTCGGGATGCTCCGCTGCCCCGTGGGCATGGGGACCTGACCGTCCACGCGTCACGCCACCGCGAGTGGCGGCGGTGCCCACGGCAGGAGCGGTGCCCGGGCACGGGCTGGGCACAGCAGCATCCTGCTGGCCACAGGCTCGCAGGGACGGAGCAGCTCCCAGCTGGAGGGGGACCAGCTCCTCCGGGCAGCCGAGCTGGGCAAAGCCACGCACCGGGTGTGCCTCGGGACCTCCTGATGGACTGGGCGCTCAGGGACTTGGCGGGTGCTTTGCCTCTTCAGCCTCGCTGCCCTAAAGCTGCAGCCCGTGCAGAGCCCCTGGGCCTGGTTGGGGGCTCTGGAGGCCGGTGGGCTGCTGGCCGCGTTCCTTTGCATCGGTTAAATGCACCCAAATGCAGCAAGTTCAGCCGTCCGGGAACGCATTTGCGGCAGAGACACTGCACAACTGTGCCTTTCCTTCCCAAGCTGTATGTGTGCAGGAAAAGTCGTTTGCACTGAAGCAATAATAATGACAGATTTTCTGATTTTACTGTGAAGTTCCCTAATATTATGTTCACTTACCACTAACATTAAAATTCTAAATATAATATCTGTAGTTCTTCTCTGTGTAGGTTACAGTCACTATTAGATGAGCACTTACTTCATGGCAATATTTTATGACAATGTTATTATTATATCGACTATAATTTATTGCATACAGTGATGTGAAAACTAATAAATTATGAAGTAAATATAAATTATCTTGTCTGAAATGCTCAGTTCTCCTGGAGTGGTGGGGTTAGACTTTTTTTGTCATTTCACAGAGACCCGGTTTAGGAGCAGACTACCTGCACCTCTCCTTCACTCCACGGATATGGCTTTGGCAGCCCATCCCCAGGATGTGGCGCAGCCCCTGGCTCCCCCAAGGCCCCACCACCCTACCTGGCAGCATCAGGTTGCCCCACGGTTTCTGTGGCAACCATGTCATCCCCAGAAAGGCCTCGCCAAATTTATTGCTAGTCAACTCTAATGCCAGTTTCCCCTCTGTAATAAAGCAGAATAACATCTTCTGCATTGAGGAAAGCAAGGTGTAGGAAATGATGGTTCAGGACCAGGCTGGGCAGCATGGCTTGCCAGCCTTTGACATTTCTGCAGAGGGCTTGGCTCCTCACCACCCAAAGAAACAGCAGTAAGTTAGGAAGCCTTGGCAGCAGAACTGGACTGTTTTTCTGCAAATTGTGCTGTACTGTCATGATAAATGATGCTGAAAGTACTTAAAAATAGCAAAGACTGGTTATTTATAAGTCTGTCCTCTAATAACCTGATGGTTTAGATAAAAACATTCCCATGACTCTGCTTAGAGCAACAAAGATACAGCAGCTTGGAAGAGTGATAGCTCAGCTACAGTTTTGGTTTTTTTTTTTTTTTGCCTACAGTAAGAACTCCAAATTGCCCATAAGTCAGGGAAACTGGAAATAATCTTTTAAGTCACCTAATAGAATGGGCAATTATAATTATTTATAACTGGAGCGGGATGCACGGTGATTTCCCCCTCCCAGGGTGACCAGAGCATAAACTGTTTTGGGATGAACCTGTTTGAAAGAACTTCCAAAGGCTTTTCAAAACTGTCCTTGCTCAGAAAAATCTGTCTGAGAGCAGGTTTGCTGCAGAGGAGTTGCCAGTTTTCCAGCATTCAACCAGAGTGGTGTCCTGCACTGGCTGCAGCTGCTGCACCATTGGTGAGACATCCCCACAAACCATCCACAGTGACAAAACCTGTCTCAAACGGGCTGTTCCCAAAAAAGGCCAAACAGGGCCATTCAGTGCTTGCCCACAGCTCAGCCCAGCTCCACCCAGCCACTCTGGGCCCTGGGGATGCCACAGCTCCCCCTGCTCTGCTGGGTGCTCCTGCCAGAGCAGCTTCTTGTGACAAACCTCATAACAGAAGCCAGCAGGGTAAGGAGCCCCCAAGCCCACCTGCCTCAGGGCTGTGTTACCTGCCAGGACCCAACCAGCCCACTGCTAAGGATGCTCTGAGAACACCCTGCAGGGACCAGATCAGTTCTTCACCGTCCTGCTATTCCCTGGCCCTGCTGCTGGAGCTTTGCTCCCTGCTCCCCTGGACTGTGGAGGTGTCCACAATGCACTCCCCGTGCCAGGCTCAATGTTTGTCACTCCCTGGGCCCCCAAAACCAAACCCAGCTCCCTGGTGCTACCAATGACCTGGACAGCCAAGGTATCATTTGCCAACAGCCTTTCCTTGAAAGAAGGAAGCAAATCTGGCAGAAGCCATGCTTGTGGCAGACTGAAATCAGCACCCACTGAAGTGGCTGCTGCTGGCACATCCCAGGATTGCCCAGACAGTCCTGTTCACAAGATTTGCATAACATGATTCATAACACCCGCTGACTTGGGGATTTTATAGTCCCTCTTGTCTCATTACATTGAAATCATTAGCCCAAGTGGTATCCCTGATAAATAAAGGTCACTTACTAAGAAGTTATGTGGTTATTGGACATTTACAGTGAAAAAAGGCAGTTTTCCTCGGTTGTAGCCTGTCTGCTGCTTTGGCAGGTCTGTGCTCCAGGAACAGGAGGTTTGTGCCTTACAGTGGGCTCAGCAAAAACTGCAGTGAATTCTCATGAACATGGGCCGAAGAGAGTTTGAGGTACTAATGTCCAACCATCCCAGGGCCCTTGCACACACTGTGCTGCTGCTCTGCAGATCTCCAGGGCTGCACCTGGGTGGCTCAGAGCAGCTGGAGCCATCCTGGGGATTCGTGGCAGCCCATGTGCCAGGAGGGCAGGGCCAGAACTGCCAAAAAGGCTGCCCGGGCAGGACTGCATGGTCCTGCTGTGGTCTGCCCGTGCAGAGAGGCGTGAAGGGCAGGTCACCTGGTGATACTGTCACCCGGTGGTGCTGTCACCTGGCGATGCTGTCACCCAGCGGTGCTGTCACTCGGTGGTGCTGTCACCGGCCGTACTGCCACCTGGCCGTGCTGTCACCTGGTGGTGCTGTCACCCGGCGATGCTGTCACCCGGCGGTGCTGTCACCCGGCGATGCTGTCACTGGCGATGCTGTCACCCGGCGGTGCTGTCACCCGGCCGTGCTGTCACTGGCAATGCTGTCACCTGGCAGTGCTGTCACCTGGCAATGCTGTCACCCGGCGGTGCTGTCACCAGCGATGCTGTCACCCGGTGGTGCTGTCACCTGGCGATGCTGTCACTGGCGATGCTGTCACCTGGCAATGCTGTCACCCGGCGGTGCTGTCACCCGGCGGTGCTGTCACTGGCGATGCTGTCACCTGGCGATGCTGTCACCTGGTGATGCTGTCACTGGTGATGCTGTCACCTGGCAATGCTGTCACCCGGCAATGCTGTCACCTGGCGGTGCTGTCACTGGCGATGCTGTCACCTGGCAGTGCTGTCACCCAGCGATGCTGTCACCGGCCGTGCTGTCACCAGCCGTGCTGTCACCTGGCAGTGCTGTCACCCAGCCATGCTGTCACCAGCCATGCTGTCACCAGCCGTGCCAGCCCTTCCTGAGCACCCGGTGCTGCAGACGCGGCGCCTGTGGCGGCCACGCCGCGTTCTGGCCGGCCGCGGGTCCATTGTCAGCCTCCCCACACAACAAACGGAGGAAAAGGCTGTTCAAGGAATTTCCTCCCTCCAGGAGCCGGGTGTTTCCATTAATTCTTCTCCATGAGTCAGGCTGGCTGTACTGGGTGTCCCCTCTCCCGGCATCCTGAGGAACATGCATCTGAACAGCTAATTTTATCCAGCTTGTCTACCGCTGTGCTTAGCTGCGCTGGGAGGGTGCTGGTGGACCCCCACTACCACTGCTGGCTGGGGAGAAGCCATGGAAAGGCAGCACAGAAACTGAGGAGAAGACTTTTGGCAGAAGCTCTGGCTTTACAGACTGGGGAAGGTGGGGAGCTACTCACAAGGTGCTGGAAAAAGAAAGCCCAGAACAAAGGGGTGTCAATGACAGCAGACCACACAGAGGTCCCTCTGTCCCCTCATCAAACACCCATCCCCATCTCGCCAAAAAAGGTCCACGAAAAGATGGGGCTGGAACCAGTCAGCAGCCCGGCACAGCCTGAGCACAATGTTCAGGAGGAGATGAAGATGTTCCCAGTGTCTGAACATCCAGTACCGTGACCTTCAGTGCCTGCTGAAATGCAGCACGCAGGGCAGGAGCAGAGTCCAAAGCGGAGCTGGGCCAGCCCTCACCCAGCCATGGTTGTGTGTGGGGGGACAGGGTGCTCCAGTCAACAGCAACACCTCCCTGGCAGCCTCCCTTACACCATGGAGCAACAGGCAAGTTAAAAATTAACTGCTGAGCTGAGGTCTGCACTGCTGCACCCAGAGACAGACTCTGCTTGGCAAACCAGTAGAGCAACAGCCCGGGTGCCCCTGGCAGCCCCGGCTCGGCACTGGCATAGGGGGTGCCTGGTGCTTGTGAAAACAGTCACAGATGAAGCATATTTCATCTGCAGCTGCTGGGGGAAACCTCTGCTCTAAAGCAGGTTAAATGTGAATGACAAGGTGTAAAGTGTGAGATTTATGGATGTGTTAGTGTGGTTTTCACAGAAAAGAGCTGGTCTGGGGCTTCAAAGCACAAATGCTTCACGTGCAGCAAAATGATGCTCCAGTGTCAAGACAAGGCATTTATGAGAAGAAAAGCCTCTAAAATACTGCAGCAAACAGGAGATGGCACAGTTACCATTTATCTTTGCTAAAACCCGAAAGTTGGGCCGTGACCAGAATCCTAATCCACAGCCCTGACAAAGCCCCTTATTCCCACGGAGCTGCAGCCTGAATTGGTGCCCGTGGCCAGCCCGAATGCTCTGCCGTGGGAAGCTGTGACATTTTCTGGGGGCCCGGACAGTGAGTCAGAGCTCAGGCAGCAGCACGTCCCGGGCTGCGGCTCCTCCGTGCGCCCACGCCGGGAGCATCACCGGGACAGTCACCGGGACAGTCACCGGGACAGTCACCGGGACAGTCACCGGGACAAGCACCGAGCGAGGGCAGGCACTGCTGGGGCTCCGCACCGCGTCCTGCAGCCTCCCCCGCGGAAAACCCGCTCCTTCCAGGGGCTGAGCACTGCCCCGGCCTGGGGCAGGTCACTGATTCACCCTACAGCCATCATTTCCCAAAACGCGCCCTAGCCCTGCCTGCCCCCCGCCTGCCCCCCGAATCCTCCTGGAATTGGCCCTGGGGGCCGGGACCCATCACTAGGGGTAGCAATTCCCAGGGGTAGCTGTGTGAAAACTGCTGCTCTCCCACATCATCAGAAAATTCCGTATTTAAAATACTCATGCGCATGAAAAAGTGGATTTCCATTGTCTTTGCAAAGTAGAGGTGCTTTAATGCCTCAAGGAATTAGGGGAAATCTGACTAAAAGTACTTTCTCCACCTGCTGTTGTTTCTGCCTGGACCATAATGGAAAGGGAAGAGAAATTGCCATACTGTGTTTCCTAGACTGGCCATATTCCAGCTGGGCTCTGTTTAAAATTCACCTGCCATCTCAAATGCTGAAAATATTCCAGACATGGCTTTTTTTCTCCCCTCTTCCTGAATGGTAAAGTACGAGACGCAATTTTTCATTTAGAAATCTGCTTGGGAGCCATCAGACCCTTTCTTCCCCCAGACTTTCTGGGAGGCTCTGATTTGCACCCTGGTACCATTTTCTGAGCCAGTTTGCAGGAAGGCAGCACAGGCTGCCAGAGAGCACAAGGACAAATGTACAAGTCTAA